CCCCGATTCCTGCCTGGCTTCCATCCCTGAAGCCCCCATTTCCTGCTTCCCCAGATCTGTTCTCCATCTCTCACCCTTTCTTGCCCCAACAGTGGTTCCTCTCCCAGCCTTAGCACCTTTCGTTCCCAGACTGGGTGGGCAGTTTGTCAACCTCAGAAGAAGGGCCCAGCCTCCTCTAGGGAGTGCGTGGATCCTGCCGCTGTGAGTGCAGAGCAGCCTGGGGAGTGGGCAAGTGTGCAGGACTTTGGGGAAGATGGAGAAATTGTGAATGACTCCAACTCTCTGCCCTCAAAGTGCTTCTGCCCCAAATAACTGTCCTTAAACCCGTTGCTCTTCCCTGTTCCCCACCCCAATCTGCACTGGAGCCCGCAATGAGACGTAGAGATCCAAAGACCCCAGCTTCTGGTAAGTCCAGGATCAAGAACCCAGGGCAGCTTGGTCTTTGCTTTGAGACGAGGAGAAAACTAGCAGGGCTCCTTATAGCAAAGCCACAGAATTCCCCAGACTACCCAAAAGAGGCAGGAGCAGGTGGGGTAGCATCTGAAAGGCTCAGAATGGCCTGAGGTGGAGGGGAGGCAGAAACCAGTCAGCCTGGGGGTCTCCAGCCAGCAGAGAGCCATGGACAGAGGTGACTAATTTCCCAGCTACTCATGGTGAAAATATCACATTTCATGCTTTGTTGCCGATTCATAGAAAAACCCTATTAAAACCCGGTAGATTATTTATATAGTTTAAACAAATGATGATCAAAGATTTTACATGTTTTTAAAAGAACCCAGAGTTATGCAGCTTGCCTGGCACTTAGCCAGAGGGTGGTGGATAAACATATGGTGTGTGTGGATGTCTTGGTAGGGGAGGGTTGGGGTAAGATTACAGCAGGGCAGGCCTGGATGGGGAGATGGTTACAGCTGTCATTCCAGCAGGGGGCGCCCTCCCCCCAGTGTTGACACCCCCTCCCAACAGCTGATTAGAGTCCCACAGATGGGCAAAGATTTCGTGTCCCTTTTTGTCTGGTCATCCCCCCTTATACCTCCTGGACCTGATTCAAACTCCCCGAAAGTGTAGTTGTGCGTGATTGGCAATTTAGGGACTGTGATTGTGTGGGATGGGAGTTTTGCAACCTAATGTGCACAATGCAAGCACCGTGGTGGCTGTGCGTCCAAGTCCAGCATCTGTGTCTGGGTCAGTGTGGCGCCTGCGAGCTGGGCAGTACCTGCGGTGTGTCTCTCTTGGCCACCTCTGTGATTTACCTTCCTCCCAGTCCCATGCTGAAGGTCTCTCCATCCTACAGTAAACCTGGCCTGTTGTTCCTCTTACACATTCACATGCACAGGCCGCACCTGCGCAGAGATGCTTTTTGAGAGGCAGTTCCCTCCCAGTGGCTTGGATGGTGGGCAGTGGTAGATGAGTGGAAGAGGCAAGGGCCCCTGTGAACTGACTTTGGGGACCCCCAGCCTGGGAGGCATTGTTCCCCCACCCAACCTCTGAAGGAGGACCCGTGGGAACCCCCTGAATCTGCCTAATCCCACCTCCCTTTTGGTTGTAGCTACCCATTACGACCCCTCCATCTTGAAGAAAGCTGTGCTAAGTGATTGTGATGCTAAGGTGAAGGTCAGCCTAGAGCCTTGTTGCCCTTGTCGTGAGAACTTGGAGCCCAGTTCAGCTCCAGGAGTTGGATGAGGGCTGGATGGAGGGTGGATGGGCTGGTGCCTGGGGCTGATGTCCAGGGCAGAGACAGAGCAGCCCTGCATCCTGCACACAGTGCTGCCCGTGCCTGTCCACCAGGCTGTCCTGCCTCAGCAGTTTTATTACTCACACGGAGATAACACCCTGGGGGTAGGCAGCTTGTTCTGAAGGGGAATGTACCCTACACTCCCCATACACATTCCAGCCTCAGGCTAGGGTCTAGTTCAATTTCTGGCCAGATGCCTCCTGAGGGGGCTAAACTAGGATCCCTCTGGACAGGCCATGGGTAATCCTGGAAGTTCCTGGATTGGAGGGTTTGGAAGGGGCACGAACGGCAGAGGGAGAAGAGGGGAAGTTAAGGGGAGTATGGTTCTTCCCTTGCAGGGAGGAAGGGCTGGAAACAGCAGCAGATAGAGGCATCTGCCTCCTTGGAGAATCCCCCAACTGGGACAGGGGAGAGCAGGAATCACCGAAAGGTTGGCAATTTAGGGACTGTGATTGTGTGGGATAGGAGTTTTGCAACCTAATGTGCATGTATTTGCAAACCACCTGGCTTGGCGTGAGTGCTCAGGGCTCCTGATGGGTCTTGGGGACATGAAGGTTCTTTGCCTCTTGGTTTGCTTGTGTATTTATTGCTCCTTCTGCAAAGCTGGCTGCAACGGTGACAGGAGCGCCCAGGGCCTGTGCAGCTGGCTAAGGAGCGAGACCCGGCCTGGGATATTTAACCATCTCATCATGGAGACCTTGGCCGATTTGTTTTCTTCTCCAACTCTTTTTTCCTTTCTTCTTTTTTTTTCTTTTGAAAGAAAACAAGCCGCATTTGGGAGCCTGGAATCTCAGCAAGTAGAACAATCGTTTGTGACTGCTACATCCATCACAGGCTGAGGTCCTGCAGCAGCCCAGACCGGAGGAGCCGCCACGGGCCCCGCTGCCTTCACCACAGCCTGCACTTTATTAGAATTTATACGTTGCCCCCATTGAGGGGGAAAATAATTAACACCCCTACAAATATATCGTAAACAAAATATTTATTAGAAATAAATAACTCATTTATTTTACATATTTCATTTCAACAATAACATTACCCAATTTATCATTTAACATTTTTGCAAGACAATTTAACGACTACTTATTAGCATTTCCATTTTTCACCCGCGCACCATAAAGCACAGGCGCTCCCCAAATGGCCTGGCACAGGCCGAGCCAGGGGCTCAGAGGACCCTAGGGCGAGCTGGGGACTCCCTGGCTCTCTCTCTCTCTCTTTCTGGTTGAGATGGAGTTTCACTCTGTCACCCAGGCTGGAGTGCAGTGGCACAATCTTGTATCACTGCAACCTCTGCCTCCCGGGTTCAAGCGATTCTCCTGCTTCAGCCTCCAGAATAGCTGGGATTACAGGCATGCACCACCATGCCCAGCTAATTTTTGTATTTTTAGTAGAGACGGGGTTTCACCATATTGGTCAGGGCAGTTTTGAACTCCTGACATCATGATCCACCCATCTCGATCTCCCAAAGTGCTGGGATTACAGATGTGAGCCACTGCACCCGGCCCCCTTTCTCTTATATACTCAAACATATGCAGGACAGACAGCCCACAGCAAATACATGCAGTCACCTTCAACCACAGACATCCTCTCCTCACATAAACTATGTAGCTGCTCTCCCCAGAGCAGACACCCCCAGAAGACACCCGCAAGTATACAATTGACACCCCAATGTTCATGCTCACGTGGACCTCATAACCACCCCCCACACCCACATGTGGACATACACACACACACACATTCCTCATGGCCCGCACCCAATTGCACAAGGACACAGTCACTGGCTGTGCACTTATGCCAACCTCAGATCCCACATATGTGGGTAATGGAGAGGAGGGCAATGCCACCTCATCCCTCTAGCTCCGCAGCAGAGAGTGGGGCACGGAGGAGAAGCCTAAGTGCAGGATCTGAGTCCCTTCTATCCCCACCTGTGACCCTTGGGCCCCCTCTGTGTCCCTCTTCTGTTTTCCCCCGCTCAGCAAGGATTTTCTGAGATCATGTGCCCATTTTTACTTCTTTTTTTTTTTTTTTTTTTTTTTTTGAGACGGAGTTTTGCTCTTGTTACCCAGGCTGGAGTGCAATGGTGCGATCTCAGCTCACCACAACCTCCGCCTCCTAGGTTCAGGCAATTCTCCTGCCTCAGCCTCCTGAGTAGCTGGGATTACAGGCATGTGCCACCATGCCCAGCTAATTTTTTTTTTGTATTTTTAGTAGAGACGGGGTTTCACCATGTTGACCAGGATGGTCTTGATCTCTTGACCTCATGATCCACCCGCCTCAGCCTCCTAAAGTGCTGGGATTACAGGCATGAGCCACCGTGCCCGATCCCATTTCTATTTTGAACTTCTGCCCCAGGGAGGTCATCCTGAAGAGTCTGGCTGGGTCTCTCCGGTGCCAACTTCAAGTGTGTTCTCTGGGAAGGAAGTATATAAGAACCAGGCCTCAGCTGCTTGGGTTCTGGGCTGTGAATCTGGGGCTAGGGCTCTGGGCCACAAAGGAGAGATTTGGATCTGGGTGATGAGAGGTTAAACTGCCTGGTGGTAGTCGATGCATTTGAGTGTCTCCTCTACCCAGGGTCAAGGCCCAGCCTAGCTCCTCTGCCTGCTTCCTTCCATGGGCAGAGAGAAGGAAGTAGGGAGTCAATATCCCAGGTGACAGACAGAGTTGGAAGACGCTTCTCCATCCTCCCAGCTTCTAGTTCTGACCTGGTGCCTGCTCATGGAATCAAACTGGAGCCCCTCAACCCACCCTCTTCTCAGTCCCTGTCTGTGTGAAGACACGGGCCAGGGACAGATGAGTGTGCAGCCCTCTAGAACACACAGGGAACACATATGTGCACATGCATGTGCCACTCCATGTGCATTCTGCCCAGGCTGTCTTGCTGCCCCACCCCCAGCGCCAGTCACACCATCCGGGAGATTAGGGTCCATTTTGGGGTGTTAAAGTGCCAGGGCTGAGATGTTCCCCCTGAGTGCATAGCCTCTCTGCCCTCTCTCTGGGAGGTGAAGGTGAGAGGCTGGTGGCTGGGGCCCAGGAGATGGAGCAGGGGGCCCTTCAGAGTCATCTAGCCAGGGGATGGGGGCAGGGCCCAGGGGGAGTGCATACAATGGCTGGAGGTTGGAGGGTCTGAAACTGGAGACTTTAATAAAAGCCACTGACAGCAAATAAAGCTGCCAGGGGAGTCCCATTACCCACAACAAGGACCCTTTGTGAGCTAAGAAGGACTGAACTGACCCTTTTCCACCAGCCTGGCCCCATCCATACCCACCCACCCAGGCCCTGTCTCCCTGTAGGCTCCACAGGCCCCATCCCTAGCCCAGCCAATTCAGCTCAGGGGCTTGCCAGTGCTGAGGGGATCGGGCTGGGGGACGCTCCCACAGACTGCAGGTCTTTCTCTACTCCTACCCCAATCTCCCTGGTTTCTAGTGCCACTGGCCTTTGGTTATTTGGTCCCCTTCATAAGTGTTCAGTAGCTCCACTGTAGGAGTACCTCCCGTTAAATAAGCGGGTAGACAAAGCCCTAGTGTGGGCTTCACTCACCCTGGTCCAGTGGTGGGGCAGGGGACGGATATCCATGATCAGCTCGATCCTGATATGGATCCTGGGATGGATCCTCTCTGGAGCCCAGTGCTGACCCCAATATCAGAAAGACTTCTGCACGTGGGGCCAGGCAGACCTGGGTGGAGTCCTGGAGCTGCCCCTTACCAATTGTTTGACCTTGGGCAAATCATTTCTTCTCTCTGAGCCTGTTTCCTCATCTTTTCAACGGAACTGATTTATTTTTTAATTCCTTGGGTGTTTTAGACAGGGTCTTGCACTGTTGCCCAGCCTGGAGTGCAGTGGAGTGATCGTGACTCACTGCAGCTTTGACCTCCTGGATTCAAGTGATCCTCCCACCTCAGCCTCTGGAGTAGGTAGGCAGTGTGCTATTATACCCAGCTAATTTTTGTATTTTTGGTAGAGATGGGGTCTTCCTATGTTGCTCAGGCTGGTCTTGAGCTCCTGGTCTCAAGTGATCCTCCTGTCTTGGCCTCCCAAAGTGCTAGGATTATAGGTATGAGCCACCATGCCTGGCCCACTGGGGCTGATTTAAAAAGAGTTCCTCTGAGGGTTGGGATTAACGACCTAATAGATAGATATAACACATAAACTTTAAAGCGCCCCACAAAAAGGGTTGTTATAATCACTCACTTCAGCCCCACTTTGAAACCAAATAGTAACTTGAACATTGATCTCCACGCAGGTTCTGAGTCTTGCTCTGATTCCCACCCCGACAATGATCTTGTACGGCTGTTAATGAGAAACTGGAGAAACGGATGGAAGACATTCTCACCCCTGACCTCAGCTAGGAAGCCCACTGATGCTGGGGGGCCTGGGGGAGCCAGGCAGAGAATGGAGAAAGTGGGGGTCAGATCATGGGCCTGGGGACACTTGGAGGAACGGGGAAAGTGGATTCAGGGCAGTTGGGTCCTCTGAAACAGAGTCAGCCTGCTCAGAGGGAAAGTTCTCTGACGTTGGATGCTGAGGCAGGAGGTTGAAATGGGGTAACCCATGGGGTTTGGGGTTCCTGCTTTAAGGGCAAAGTGGGATCTGAGATGGGGACACCACACAGGGTCAGAAGATGGGGGTCCCGCTATCACAAGTCCCTCCTGGGTGCGGCAGGAGGGGATTCTGGTGCAGGGCAGGGAGGGAGATTAGGAGGCTCTCTCAATTGCCTTAATGGGCTCTAAGAGGCGGGATCCTATTACAGCTCGGGGTGCCCCGGGGTGCCTTGCTGGGAAGACAAGCTAATCTGCCATGCAAATTAAATCCTGCCTCAAGACGCAAGGCCTGCTTAATGTGATCCATTACACAGTTTACTTGTTTATATCTAATATTGGAACAGGCAGCCCGGGCGGGCGGCAGCGGCAGGCGGAGCGGCCCAAAAGCAGGAGAGTAAATTACCAGCAAAATGAGCTTTTCCAGCCTCAGCCGCTGCCACCACCCGCGCCTTCCCGGCTTTCAGAGTCCTGGGCGCCCCCTCCCGCCTGCCCGCCCGCAGCGTCCCCTCACTCTTGCTGCTGTCCTGCTTTCTTCTCGTCGGCCTTCAAGTCTCCGTCTTCATCTTGATCTTTCTCCTTCTCTCTCTGTCCTTTGGCCGCTGTCTCTGTCTCTCTCTGGTTCCTTGTTTCTTCCTGTCCGTCTTGTCTCAGCCTCCTCTCTTGAGGCTTTCTGGCGGCTTTTCCTCCTCTTATTTGGGTTTCTAGCGCTCACTGTGGGCTTTTCTCTGCATTGCTTAATCTCTTCCTGCAAGAGACAGAGACGTGTCTCTGTGAGTGCCGGGTGGCTGTGTGACGCTATGTGTGGGCAAGTGGAGGGCGAGCCCAAGCCGCGAGGACACCCTGTGCACACACCTGGGGGAGCCCTACGAGCGGCTGTCACTGGAGTGCCCGACTTGCTGACAACACTGTCCTGGATGGTGAGGGCACACGCCAGAGTGACCTTGAGGGCTTTCTATGGCAAGTGTCACCATAACCATGTGTGTGTGGGTACACACATAGGTGTATGTGTGATGGACATGGATGGGCTCCTGGGAACTGCCCCCCCCCCCCCGTGTGTGTGTGTGTGTGTTTGGGGTAGTGTTTTAATAAAACTTGCGAGAGGTTGCCTACCATCTTTCCCACGCATCCTTCTCCTGGGGCATCCTTCCTGTACCCCAAAGCTTCCCTCCGCTTCCTCACACTTCTTCACCCACAGGCCACACTCATTCCAGCTCCTGGAGCAGCCCCCAGGCTTCCAATGTCCCAGGACCACCTGGCTGTCCACCATCCGAGTCCCTGTGTGTCATGTTTTGCTCTGCTCTGTTCCTGGGCCACTTCTTCCACCCCACTTCCCACCTCTGTACTCCTCCATGGAGCCACTATCTCTCTGGCTGGATATCTCCAAGGCTCCAGCCTGCACCTCCAGGAGAGTCAGAGGCCAAAACAGAGCCAGAGGCAGACAGAAAGAGAGAGAGACAGAAACTAACACGGAGGTGAGAGAGACACACAGAGACACTCGCCATGGCAGAGGGGTGGACAGGGGAGGTCAGACAGAGAGACCACAGGCACGGACAGACAGGTTGGGGCCAGACAGCAGAGAGGCCCGATGCCTGAACATCTGTGGCTGGGGGCTCACACTTAAGCTCACAGAGGCCACTGGCCTAGTATTAAGGGTTTATTTCAGACTCTGAAGCTGTTTTGGGTTGGAGGGGTATAGGGATAGGGGCTCCTATCCTCTAGGCTTCATGGGACACCTGCCCTATGACCGTATGTTGAGGAGGAGACATGAGTGACAATGGCCTAAGCCTCTGGCCCCCTGACCTGTGCCTGTGGTCCTGAGAGGAGCCAGCCCTCCCATCAGGCTCTGAGAGCTGTGGGTCCCCAGGACAGACAGGGGCAGAGGGAAAGAAAGCTCCTACAGCTTTCTGTGATGTGCACAGCTGCTGTTCTTGTGTCTGCCCTGCACACACACTCACACACACGTGCCACGTGTCAGGCTGGAGGCTTGCCAGCGAGGCTTTCCTGGCCCCAGGCCATGGTCCTGTGCCATGGCCCTAGCCACAGTCTTTATGTCTGGGACTCCTGGTCTCCTAACCTCCTGCTTCTCAAGGGTCTTGCCCCCTCTCAGACCAATGAGCAGTCTTGACCCCTACTCTCCTATCCCTCAGCAATCTGAGACTACTGGCCCCCCAGTTCCTTCCAGTTCCCAAGAACTCTGGAGCTTTAACTTCTGATACGGGTCTTCTTGTCCCTGACCTCTGGCCCTGGTTGGGGGCGGGGGGATCCTGACTGGTGGAGGGTAGGAGGGAAGGTGTGAGTCTGTATGTCTGTGTGGAATGGGGGCTGTTTAGATAAACAGATGGCAACAAATGGCATAAAATTATATACCCATAATGTCAGTTCATAACATTTTGTTCGACATACTTGATTTAATCGCTTAGCTGACGATTTGGCTTTTGGGCCCATATGGTGGGGAATGAAGCTGCGTGGCACCCGCTCCAATCTGGCTCTTTTATCACTGAGGCTGGGGGGGCGGGGATGGGGGGGTCGGTGGGGGGAGGAGAAGGGATGCAGATGGAAAGAGAATGAGCTGACAGGAGGGGGCCCAGGGAGGGGGTGACTTCAGGGACTGAAGGGGACTGGACCCTGGCAGGGAGGAGAAGGGCATCTGGAGACAGTGTGGGTGGGGCCGAATCAGCCAGGATGGACAGGACTGTGCCCAAGGGACCTGGACCCTATGGCTGACCTCCCTGGACTCTGCTAGGGCTGTGGCCCAGATCTACCTCCATGAGCCCAGTGACCTGCACTGTCTTTTTCTCTCTTCAAAACCAAGACCCAGGCCCCTGGGGCTATCCCCATCACTTCTGCCAAACTTAACAATATGTGTGTGCACACATATGTGCATGTGTGTACGACTGCCTACCGGTGCGTATGTGTGAGGACGTCTGGGAGACCAAAGATGCCTTGTGTGATGAGTTCTGTCTGTGCAAATTGCCTGACTTTCACTCTGAGCAACTGGGATGAGGTGACTGAGTGTTGGTAGCCTGAGATTGTTTGACTGAGTATCTGGGTGGTCCCAGCGCACTGTGGCACTAAGTAGGTGTTTGAGCAGTGTGCAGAGTATGTGCTCACAGCGTTTTGTTCTGGGTGTGAATGCTGGGCTGGGGAATGGTGTGTGTGTGTGTGTGTGTGTGTGTGTGTGTGTCTAGGCACTTCAGGGGACCTACCCTGCACTCTCTGCAAACAAGTCACGCCCTGTGCAGAGTGCCACCCTCAGGTCTCTGGCTATGGTCCCCAATTGCTGGTCACCTGGTTTCTGCTGGGGACTCAGAGGAAAGAGTCTGTCTCTTCCCTACAGAGATCTCTCCCTGTCCCCATTGCAAGTCCAGCCTATTTACGCCCTGCCCACCCCTCCTGCTGGTCTCCGAGCTGCACCAGCCCCCACAAGTGCTGCAAATCTGGGCCTAAATCAGCGCCCATCACTCACATCGAAGCCTCATCTGCCCCCTGCCGTGTGCCACCCGCTGGCTCCATAAAGGGGTGGGGAGCCAGCCCAGGATGGGGGCTGGCACCTGCAGAGGGCTGGGAACCTGCTATCCTCTCTCCAATCTCCAAGACCCTGTCCCCCAACCCCAGCGTGGGCTTTGTGTGCACAGAGGCTCCTGGGCTGTGCTGGGGGCCTTGCCACCGATCTGCCCTTCCGGAGTCTCTGCCACTGTCTCCCCGAGGCTTTGGAAGGGCCTCCTTCCCTCTGCCACTCTTTCTTCTCTGCCTTCCTCCCACATCTCCACTTCTCCCTCCCACTGCTTTTCTCTCCTTGTGCCTCTGAGGATCTCTGAAGGTGGAGACCAGGGCTGGGCTGGGGCTGGGGACCTATGCCAGCCCTCTAGGCCCTCTCCACGTGGGAAGTTCTATTACCAGCCTTCCTCAATCCAGTGGATTCTTCAGGAATGTTACTGGGCCCTATGGCAGGGCTGACTCTGCTGGCTGCTCTCTAGCTCTTGCAGATTGTGTCCTCAACACTCTGACTCTGATGGAATATCGTGTATGTGTGTGTGTGTGTGTGTGTGTGTGTGTGTGTGTGTGTGTGTTTGAGATGGAGTTTAACTCTTGTTACCCAGTCTGGAATGCAATGGCATAATCTTGGCTCACTACAACCTCTACCTCTTGTGTTCAAGCGATTCTCCTGTCTCAGCCTCCCAAGTATCTGGGATTATAGGAGTCCACCACCATGCCCAGCTAATTTCTTGAATTTTTAGTAGAGTGAGGGTTTCACCATGTCAGCCAGGCTGGTCTCGAACTCCTGACCTCAGGTGATCTGCCCGCCTCGGCCTCCCAAATTGTTGGGATTATGGGTGTGAGCCACTGCAGCCAGCTGGATGCTATGGTTTGACCAAACTCTCAGTTTTTTCTTGGCCCACTTGGCCATTCACTTGTTCAACAATCATGGGGCAAATCTGATGTGCCTGACATTGTACCTGCCAAGATCCAGACACCCATGGCTTCTGCCCTGCAGGGCCTCACCGTGTAAGGGAGACAAGTGTGCAGACATGTCAGGCTGCTGGTGTTTCAGCAGATGGAAAAGCTCCCAATGAGGCCCAAGGGAAGGGAAATTCTATGGGTAGGGGTGTGGGAGCCTGGGGAGAAGGTTTAGAGAGAACAGGGGTCTCAGCTGCATTAAAAACAGTTTCTTTTTCTAGTTTCAAAATAATATTTGCTCTATGCAGAATGCATAGAAGGCACAGAAAAGCTCAAAGGAAAACAAAACCAAAATAGAACCTCTAAAGAAAATTGCAGGGAGTCTTGAAAGATTTTGGGGTGGTCAGGGGTGGGAGGAAGCTGGGGGCCAGTGGAGCTTGGAGAAGGTCATTCCAGACGGGCAGGGAACAAGGCACCCAACATGTATCTGGGATGTTTGTTTGCTATAAGAAGTCAGCTGTGGCTGAAGTCTGGGGTCCCGTAGGTTAGCTGAGGGGTTGACCGTTGCTTTATAAAGTACTGATGAGCCTAAGAGGGCAGTAAGTAGATGAGTCGTGTGTTCCTATTTTCCACTTTAGAACAATTGTTCTGGGGGATGGATTGGAGGTGATGGAGACGCAAAGCAGAGAGACTAGCCGGGAAATCACTGAGAGAGCATAAGAGGTGGTGACGGGGCTAATGTAGTGGGAGAGGAAGGAGGAGAACCAATGGGAAGGCAGAATGAATAGGAGTGGAGGCTGGTGCGATGTGGGGGTAGGGGTGGTAGAGAGGGAATGACTGCCAATGAAGCCCAGGCCTTGGGCTTGGTCAGTAGTGGCTGGTGGTGCCATTCACTCAAATGGGATTCAGGTGGACGTGGCGGGGAGGAATGAGTTTGTTTTGGACATGTTAAGTGTGAGATGGAAACATCCAAGTGGAAATGTTTAGTTGACAGTGGAATACGTAGGTCTGGAGCTCACGGTATAGATTTGTTCGTTTCTTAGTATTAGTTACAAAATACCTACTGGGCATCTACAATAAGATTGGGCTGAGGATTAAACAGCAAATGAGACAGACTGCACCTTTCCCTTGTGGGGCTCACAGCTCCCCGTGGTGAGGTGAGATCTGAAGCCATGGGAACGATGGACTTTCCAGAGGGAGGGGAGAGGAAGGTGCCAGGATGCCAGCATCTCAGGGCTGGCAGCGGGCAGCACAGAGCAAGGGCCTCTTCCCGCTCTCAAATCACAGAAGGCCATCTTGTGCACTTGCTCTGCTACCTTCTTAGACACGCTTTAGTGGGATGTCTCCTGGGGTCCCTGTTCCCCAGGACTGCTCCTGCCAGTGTGCTCACGGACACTCGCATATGTCTGCGATGCTACGTGTCTGCCCTGCCCCTACATGTGGGGTAGTGGAAAAGAATTTCAACAAACTCTGGTTCTACGTGACATGTAAATCCTCTTTAGTGCCTGATGTTTGAAAGAAACTGTCCAGGCATCGTGTCTCACGCCTGTAATCCCAGCACTTTGGGAGGCCGAGGTGGGTGGATGACTTGAGGCCAGGAGTTCCAGAATAGCCTGGTCAACATGGTGAAAACCTGCCTCTACTTACGAAACACAAAAATCAGCTGGGCCTGGTGGCACATGCCTGTAATCCCAACTACTCAGGAGACTGAGGCAGAAGAATCACTTGAACCCTGTTGGCAGAGGTTGCAGTGAGCTGAGATTGAGCCACTGTACTCCAGCCTGGGCAACAGAATGAGACTGTGTCTAAAAAAAAGAAAAAGAAACCAAGACTCCTTGCTGTGGTCTTCAAAGCCCTTCATGGTCTGGCCTCTGCCCAATTACCCAGCCTCATCGGCAGCCAAGCCTCCCACATGGCCCAGAGCCTACCTTTCCAAAGGAACTCCAATCCCTCATCAGCTCTTGCTCTCTCCACCTCCAAGCTTTGTACATGCTCTTTCTCCTGACCCCATCTCCCTCTCCCAGCCAGTCAACCCAGCTAACTTTTTATTTTTTTGAGATGGGGGTCTTGCTTTGATGTCCAAGATGGAGTAGTTGGATCACAGCTCACTGCAGCCCTGACTTCCTGGGTTCAAGTGATCCTCCTGCCTCCGCCACCCAAATATCTGGGACTACAGCCATGTGCCATCACACTTGGCTAATTTTTAATTTTTTTGTAGAGACGAGGTCTTGCTATGTTGCCCAGGCTGGGCTCCAACTCCTGAACTCAAGTAATTGTCCTGCCTTGGCCTCCCAAAGCATTGGGGTTATAGGTGTGAGCCACCATGCCTGACCTACCCCAGCTAACTCTTAATGACCTAGCCCAAGTGCTTCCCGTCTGGAGCCTTCCCTAGCCTGCCAGAGCACACTGGAGACCTCTTATAGGTGTCTGTTATGGCACAAATGTTTATGTCTCCCCAAAATTTGTGTTGAAATTCTAACCCCAAGGTGGTGGCACTAGGAGGTGGGGCCTTTGGGAGGTGATTGGGTCATAAAAGTGGAGACCCCATTCTTAGGCTGCTGTTGCTATAAAAACAAACAAACAAACAAAAAGACACCAGAGAGCTGGCTAGTCCCTTCCACCATGTGAGGACCCAGTGAGGAGGCACGGTCTATGAGTGAGTGGGACCTCACCAGACATGGAATCTGCTGGCACTCAGAGCTGGGAGAAATAAATTTCTGTTGTTTATGTGCCACCCAGGTTCTGGTATTCTCTTATAGCAGCCTGATGGACTAAGACAGCTTCTCTTTCAGAAGGCCTTATTATCTCTGTCCCTGGATAAGGAGATCCTTTGGGACAGAGCTTGTTTTGTTTTTGTTCATCTTTATACCCCAGTGCCTAGCATAGTTCTGGGCACATATTAGCTGCTCAGGATTATAAACTGTGCACTGAAGGCAGGCTGCTATTGAGATCAGGCTGGAGGGGCAGGTGGGCTGGGTGTTGGGCAGGGCCGATATTAGAAATGGGGCTGGTGTTAGGGGGCTGATGTGGACCAGGGGAAGCCTAGGCATTTGGGGTAACAGCTGGGTGTTGGGGTAGGTGGTGGGAGGTGGGTTGAATGTAGGAGTGGATCTGATGTTAGTGTAGCGAGGGGTGTTTGAGGTAGGGAAGGAAATGTGTGGAGAGCTAGGCAGGTAACTAGGTGTAGGAAAAAGGGGTGAGCAGGTGAACAGGGGAGGGAGGGAAGGAGAGGAGCTGAACTCAGGAGCACTAGACAGAGTCCCCTGAGACCTCTCCAGGGTTCTGACTTTGAATGCTGCTGATCCAGCTGTTCCTCAGTAACCAGTTTTTCCCAGAAGAAGTGGAGAGGAGAGGAGACCCGGGGAGAAGAGCCTAAAAGGGTGAAGAAGGATTTTCATTATGAAGTTAATTAGCTTCAGAGCCACTGCACCTTTCAGGACGAGGAATTAGAGGGATTTAATTGCTTTATCAGCCTTCCCTTTGATTTTCAGCAATCAGGCCGATTCCATTTAATTTAACTGCCACAGACGAGGAGAAAATTGATGCGCTCACCTGCCTCGGAGCAGAAAGAGAGAGAGTGGGGAAGAGGGAGAGGGGGAGCCAGAGAGACTGGCAAACACAGAGCCTGCAGATTAATGAAAACCAACAGCATTTGCTCACAATTGGAGATGAAGTGTGCCCTCGAGGTGTTTGGAGCTGTGTGTGTGGCCGTGTACGAGTGGCTCTGTGTGAGTTTGTGTGCGCAGTTACGTGGGAGTTTGTGATGTGCGTGTTTGTGGGGGTGTGACGATGGGTGCCTTGGTTGACATGGAGGTGGGTATGTGGGTGAATGTTGGTATGTGGCTGTAGGTAAGTGACGGTAGAGGCATGTGATTGACTGTTGAAGACTCCTCATACATTGAAACAACAGTGTGAGGGAGGATGGCTGTCTCTGACTGTGTAACCATGAATGCAGTGACTGTCTGTGTGTCATTACAGAAATAAGAATTTTGCTCTGTGTGAAACTGCATACCTATTCGTCCATTTGTTCAGCAAGCACTGAATGAACTTGTGCTAAGAAGCAGGCGCAGTGCCGTGGGCAAAGGAGACTGAGATGGAGTCCCTGACCTCAAGGATTCACTGTCTAACAGAGGAGAAAGACTGGTGAATATGCATCATAATTAGAGTACTGTGCTGCATGGTTGCCCTGGGAGCACTGTCTGGAAGGCCTCCAAAAAGAGGTGGCTCTAAAGATAGGAAGTCTCTAAGTAGAGAAGGCACTGATGGGGTTGTGGCATAGGAAGTGCACTGCAACCAGATCAAACAGTATGGGCCACATAGGGGGAAGCTGGGGCTGCTCAGGAGGGCAGACCCCGAGAAGAAGGACTCTGGAACATGCTAAGAAATGTAGGATTTCCTACAGGGTACTGAGTGGGAGATAACTCTCAGGAATATGCGATAGAAAGATTGTTGGCCCAGTGCGTTGGCTCACGCCTGTAATCCCAGCACTTAGGGAGGCCAAGGCGGGTGGATCACTTGAGTTCAGGAGTTCATAACCAGCCTGACCAACATGGTGAAACCCCATCTCTATTAAAAATACAAAAATTAGCTAGATGTGGTGGTGCACACCTGTAAGCCCAGCTACTTGGGAAGCTGAGACAGGAGAATTGCTTGAACCTGGGAGGTGGAAGTTGCAGTGAGTCAAGATCCTGCCACTTGACTGGCGGCAGACTGAAACTCCATCTCAACAACAACAACAAGAAAAAAAATTTCTCGGATTCACTAATTGTTGTGTGGAGGCTAGACTGGAGAAGGCAATGGAATGATCTGGGAAGGCAGCAGGCCAAAAGGAGGTGTTGAACATTTCTGAACAGCCAGGTTGAGGGTGATTCCATAAAGGGAGGTATTAGAGGATGAGGAAGTTGGGAGATGATTCGGTCTGGAACATGTAGAGCTTAAGTTGCTATGGGACATTCAGGTTGAGGTATCCAGTAGACAGCTGAATATGGGTTTGGAGCTTAGCAGAGAGGTGAGAGGTCCAGCCTGGAGATGAAATTGTCCGCATATTTAGGCTGTAAATAATGCTTTAGGAAGGGATGAGGTGACTCAGGGAAAGTGTTGAGATCAAGAAAACAGGAGGATCAAGGACAAAAGCCTGGAGATCAGTCATATATACAATACTGGAAGAAGAAAAAGAAACTGGAAAAGATGGTGAAGAGTCAGCCTAACAGAGGAAAACAGAGAGAAAGTTAGAGAAAAGAGAACATTGCTGAGAAGTTGAGTTCCATTTTTAGACATGCTGAATTGAAGTTTCTATGAGACATCCATGCCGATGCAGGCAGGATCTAAAACTCAGAGCTCTTTTCTTTCTTTCTTTCTCTTTCTTCTTTCTTTCTTTCTTTCTTTCTTTCTTTCTTTCTTCTTTCTTCTTTCTTTCTCTTTCTTTTTTCCTTTCCTTTCCTTCCTTCCTTCCTTCCTTCCTTCCTTCCTTTCCTTCCTTCCTTCCTTCCTTCCTTCCTTCCTTTCTTTTTTCAGACAGTCTTGCTCTGTCACCCAGGCTGGAGTGCAGTAGTGCAATCTCAGCTCACTGCAACTGCCGCCTCCTGGGTTCAAGCGATTCTGCCTCAGCCTCCTGAGTAGCTGGGACTACAGGCACGCGCTACTAAGCCCGGCTAATTTTTGTATTTTTAGTAGAGATGGGGTTTCACCATATTGGCCAGGCTGGTCTTGAACTCCTGACCTTGTGATTCACTGGCCTCGGCTTCCCAAAGTGCTGAGATTACAGGCATGAGCCTCGGCTTCCCAAAGTGCTGAGATTACAGGCATGAGTCACTGCACCCGGCCTCAGAGCTCTTAACATGAGTGAATGCTTAGGATGTGATAGTTTATGGGGGAAATCTTGCATGGCTGGGGAATAGGATGAGTGGATGGATGTAGAAGATGATGAGATTGGAGAAGTGGGTAGGGTTATGTAGGGCTTTCAATACCAACCTCCAAGTTCATACTTTAGCCTGAGGGCAGGAGTTGTTTACTGTCTTTAATAAGGAAGACGACTTGATCAGATTTTCATCTTAGAGCTATCACTCTGTCTTAGTTTGATTTTCCCCTAAATCAGAGCCTGAGACCAGGACTTAGGTGAAGGCAGTTTATTTGGAATGTGATCACAGGGATCGATAGTGAGGGAGTGGGGAGAGTGAAACAGAGAAGAAAACTGTTGTCTCTACAGGCAACTGAAATGCAACCCTTGGAGATCCTCTGAAGAATCATGTAGAACACACTTCAGAATTGTTCCTCTGAAGGACAGGAAGCTGGGTGCTTATCTACTACTGGGTATTGAAAGAGGTCCCCACTGGTTGACAGTGCTGCCAGGGCCCTTACATTCCCTTTCCTGGGCTAGCTGCACTGAAATCCGAAGTCGGCCAAGAGGAAGGGAGGTTGGAACAACAAAAGCATCTGTCTCATTCTGGCAGCCTCTTGGGAAGTGGACCAGAGAGGGAGAGGTTGGAAGCTGATGATTGTAAATTGGAGAGGGAGAGGTTGAAGGTAGTTGATTGTTATGTCTAGACCATCCATGATGAAGAATGTAGGAACTGACAGAAGTGCTGTCTTAGAGGCATAGAATTAATAGGGTTTGAAGATCTATCTGACATTTGGGGTTTATGGCAGGCAGAATAATGGCTTCCCAAGTGTACTATTCTGTCTTGTGTTACTGTAAAGGAATACCTGTATAGAGGCTGGGTAATTTATAAAGAAAAAATATTTACTTGGCTCATGGTTCTGTAGGCTGTGCAGGCATGGCACCAGCGTCTGCTCAGCTTCTGGTGAGGCCTCGGGAAGCTTTTACTCATGGCAGAAGGCAAACAGGGAGCAGACATGTCACATGGTGAGAGAGGGAGCGAGAGAGATGTCACCGTCTTTTAAACAACCAGCTCTCTCGTGAACTAATAGAGGGAGAACTCATTCATTACTGTGGGGGAGGGCACCAAGCCATTTGTGAGGGATCCATCACCATGGTCCAAACACCTCCCACTAGGCCTCACTTCCAACATTGGGGATCATATTTCAGTATGAGATTTGGAGAGAACATTCAAACTATATCATCAAGGTCTACGTCCTAATTCCAAGAACTTGTGGATATATTGTATTACAGAGCAAGGGGGAATCAAGGTTGCCAGTCAGCTCCAGGAGATTTATCCTGGATTATCCAAGGCGGTCCAATGTACTCACAAGGATTGGTCCTTACAAGTTAAAGAAGGCAGAAGGGTCAGAATCCAAGATAGACTTGAAGATGCTATTCTGCTGGCTTTGAAGATAAAGGAAGGGACCACAAGCCAAGGAATGCAGTCAGCCCCTAACAGCTGAAAAAGGCAAAGGAGTAGATTCTCCTCTAGAGCCTCCAGAAGGAATCAGCTCAGTCAATATCTTGATCTGAGCTTAGTGAGACCCATGTTAGATTTCTAACTTGCAGAACTAAAAAATAATAAATCTGTGTTGTTTTAAGCCACTAGGTTTGCAATAATTTCTTATGGCAGCTATAGGAAACTAATAAAGGGTCCAAGAAGGATTTGCTAATAACTTCCAAAATTTCTAGCTTGGACCAGACAGGGAGGAGGAACTCATGGAGAAAGGGAAGAGAAGTAAATTTGGGAGAGCAGCTTCTGAGCTATTTCATCCATGTTCTTTGTGCAACTGGAGGGATTTCCATGCCAAGCTATCCATATGGAATATGAAGTCAGGGTGTGGAAAAGATTTTTGGGAAGGGGGGGCCTCATCAACATGGTGATATTTGAAGCTGGAAAAGCAGATGGGGTTTCCTAGCCAAGGATGAGGACAGAAACTTGCAGAGATGTTGGAGTCTTGGGGCCAGTGGAGAAGCTGCTGCTGCTGGAGGCTTGTTCTCTTGATCTCTGATCTCTGTTTCCTCTTTTTTTTTTGAGACGGAGTCTCACTCTGTCACCCAGGCTGGAGTGCAGTGATGCAGTCTTGGCTCACTGCAACCTCTGCCTTCCAGGTTGAAGTAATCCTCCTCCTCACCCTCCTGAGCAGCTGTAACTATAGGCACACACTACCATGCCCAGCTAATCTTTGTATTTTTAGTACAGATGAGGTTTCACCATATAAGCCCAGCTGGTCTCAAACTCCTGGCATCATGATCCACCTGTCTCAGCCTCCCAAAGTGCTAGGATTACAGGTGTGAGCCACTGTGCCCCACCCTCTCTTTCCTCTTAATAAGAGCTTTTAGTTCCAGTGTTGGCTCCCTCGCTTCCACTCTGCCTCCTTCAGTATCTTCTGACCTTCCCCAGGTCCTTGGTTTCTTAGGAGGTGACCTCCAGGGCTGCTCTGTTCTGTTGTGCAGGTTGTACACTGCACAGCTCTAAGGGCATCATTCACATAGACTACAATATGAACATGGTGCTCTCAGCGTTGTCAGTGAACAACCTTGCGAACAGTACATGATGGCCTGATTGGTCTGTTTAGAGAGATAGGGAATTGGACTCTCTTGCCTCTAACTCCATATCCAGAGTCTCAGCCCTGGCTTGAATCCAGGATGCAAAAGAGGTCTCAAGAGCAAGGCCCAGACAAAGTGGGAGCAGCCCCTAGAAAGATGGGGCCCTGGAGGCTAGGCTATCAGGTGTCTAGGCCTGGGCCCTCTGTCAACCCCCATTTTTTGGGTGGACAGTTCTTCTCTCTTCTCTCAGCACCCCACCCTGTTGACTGCTTTTTGATTAGAATGTGGACTCTAACTTGGAATTAACCTGATTAATGTAATGAAGGCAGGGCCGGCTCAGCACCGCCTGGTGATGAGGGGAGATGGATTGGGAGCGAAGGCGCTCGGATGGAGGCGCGGCCGTAATTGCTGCGTTTACTGCTACCTGCCTCGCTGACCCTGCTGTTTAGCCCATTAATGATGATGCACAAGCCTCACTTTCCAGAGATAATGACAGAGAATCTTGGGGGAGGGAAATAGAACTGGGGGTCTGGGGTCTGAGGGAGACATGGATCTGAGAATGGGGCCATGGTGAGGGTGAGGGGCTCCGGGGCTGGAGCACAGAAGCATATGAGAAGGCAGGGTGCAACAAGATAGGGTGCTTGCTCTAGGCCCCTGCCCCCTCTAGTCATTTTCAAGATAACCACCAGCCCTGAACTTTGAGTAGGGGCTGCAGCAGCTGGCAGGGCTCTCTGACTGGGCAGGAGGGCAGTACTACTGCCTCTCCAATTCAGGAGGGCTTCCTGGAGGAAGAATCTTGGAAAGAGCAAAGAAAACCCAGAGGATGGGCAAAAGCTGAGCAGTGCTTCTCCCATGCCTTCAGCACCCACCTGGGGCAGGGAGGAGAGCACGTGGGGGTCAAGGCAGAGCCTTGTGGGGCATGGTGTGGGCACATATACGTGTACCCATGTATTGAGCACAAAGAACCTATGCATGCCAATAGGAAGACTTAACACTTTCATTCATGTTTCTTTGTTGCCTCAAGGAAGATGAAATGGATGTCCCTAATCTCATCTGCTGCCCCTCTATGTACTTTATCCTTATTTGTGTACATCATTCATTCATTCGTTTGTTCATTCATTCGAGATAGTCGAGAGCTGCCCCAGTTCTACTGCAAACTTGCTGTAGACCTGGGTAGACCCCTTCCCCTCTCTGGGCCTCAGTTGGCTGCTCTGTAATGAAGGAGATGGACCAGGTGGTTGGCTCTGATATGTGATGACGCAGAGATGCTGCCTGTCTTTCTCAACACCTGCAGCTTGCCTGGCAGCTCCGGGTGGGTGGAGGGCCCTCTCAGAGCAGGCCCGAGGACCATGTCTTTCTATGCTATGTTGGACTCCTTTAGAACTGCCCACACCTACAGCCTAGCATTCTAGTAGCCAGTTGGCTTTCCTACATGAAGCTCCTGGACACCAAAACTCCCTGCTTTTTTTTCATATGAGCCACGGCAGCCAGGTCTCCCTTACTGTGCACTGGGGCAATTGATTTGTAAAACAAATTCAGGACTTCACATTTATCCCTTACATTTCATTATGTTAATTTTATTCATTATTCCAAGCTGTCTGTGCGGCCCTCATTTTGTCCTCTGCCATCCAACAAGGTTTGCAGCTTATGATCTGGTGAGCCTGGAGGTCATTAACAAAAACAGGAACTAGGAAGAGAGGGTGGAATCATGGGACAGAACCCTAGAAATTTCCTTTTGAGCTTACATTCACCTACTTTTTCAATACCTTTCTCCAATTTATCTAGTGGTTGTTGGAGAACCTACATTGGTTATTGCTGAGCATGAATGTTCTCTAGTTAGTGTGTCCATGCATTGTTAATAAAGCATTTTCCAGAATGTAGACTGTATGAGGGCAAGAACCACATTTGTCTGGTTCACTGCAGATTCTCCAGTGCCTGGTGGTCTCTATCTGAAACACAAGCCGGGTGCTGTGGCTCATACCTGTAGTCCCAGCACTTTGGGAGGCCGAGGTGGATGGATCACCTGAGGTCAGGAGTTCGAGACCAGCCTGGCCAATGTGGCGAAACCCACGTTGTACAAAAAATACAAAATTTAGCCAGGTGTGGTGGTGGGCGCCTGTAGTCCCAGCTGCTTGGGAGGCTGAGGCAGGAGAATTGCTTGAACCCGGGAGGCAGAGGTTGCTGTGAGCTGAGATCACGCCATTATACTCCAGCCTGGGCAACAGAGTCAGACTCTGTCTCAAAAAAAAAAAAAAAAAATGAAGAAGAAGATACAGAGTACAGAGTCATTGAGAGAATAAGTGGCTCCTCTACAGAAATGAGGATGGTGGTTGTGTTCTCGTGGAGTGTTAGGAATGTCTGTTGTGTGGCCGCCCCAGTGCTTGCCTTCCGGTCTCTCACATCTGGCTTTGACAGGAAGTGATGAAGAGGAGAAGGAGATTTGCTGGAGATTTTTAAGCAAGTACTGAGGTACTTGAAGAGACAAATGTGGTGTGTGTGTGAACTTTGAGGTCAGGCAGACCTGGGTTTGCATTTTGCTTTAGTTATTTATTAGCCCCGTGATTGAGGTGTTTGCTTATCTTTCCAGAGCTTCAGTTTTTCATCTGTAAAATGGGGCAAATAATATCGAACACCCCCTCAGTTATGAGGACAAAATATAACTACATGGAGGGTGACTGGGTGCAGTGGCTTATGTCTGTAATCCCAGCACTTTGGAAGGTCAAGGCAGGAGGAGGACTTGAGGCTAGGAGTTCAGGACCAGCCTGGGCAACATAGTGAGACCCCATTTCTACAAAAAAAATAATAAAATTAAAATTTAAAAATAAAATTAAAAAATGATGGGGGAAGCCTCTAGCACATGGCTTGGCACCATGCCTAGGAATAACACCCCTGCCTCCCCCACTTCCTTATGTGGACTGAAACTCTTAGGGTGAAAGGGAAGGAGTATGAGAAATGTTATTTGTGCTCCAAAGTGTCTCTGTACAATTACCCGAGTCTGGGAAGCCAATCCTGACTTTTTATTAAAAACTGTTTCCTTAGCTGGGTGTGGTTGTGAATGCCTGTTATTCCAGCCACTCAGGAGGCTTAGGTGGAAGGATCACATGAGCCTAGGAGTTTGAGACCAGCCTGGGCAACATAACGAGATCTTGTCTCTAAAATACATGCATAAATAAATTAAAACAAAAGGTTGTTTCCTCTTATTATATGGGTTATAAATGTTCATTGAGGAAAGACTAGAAGATTGAGATATGCAAGACACAGCATCACCTGTAACCCTTCTGCCACACGTGTGTGGATGTGTGTCTATGGGGGGGCATGTTGTACTGTTTAGGTTTTGACACATTGAATTGGATTTTTCAGGGGAACTTCCAGGTGGAGGTATCAGCTACGTACCTGGAAATGTGAGTCTAAAGCGTGGGAGAGTTATCCGAGCTAAGGAAAACAGACTGGGGGTTGTCCTCATGCATGTAAGTGGGTGTTATAGCTGCAGGAAGGACCTTGGAGCTGGAAGGAGAGGGTTGGGCTGAAGGCTGAGGGTGGAACCCTAGAAAGCACCAGCATGTGAGGGTCAGATGGAGTCAGAGGAGTCAGTGATCAAGACAGAGTCACCAGCAGAGAGGATGGAAGAAAGTCAGGGGAGAGTGTCGTCAGGAAGCCAAGCACAGAGACAGTATTAAGACAGTGAGGTGGACAGCACTGTGACATGTTGTAGGGATGACACACAGGTTGAGGCCCCGGAGAGCCTTGAGACGTGCAGCAGGAGGACATAAAGATCTTAGGTAGACCGGGTGCAGTGGCTCACGCCTGTAATCCCAACACTTTGAGAGGCCAAGGTGGGCAGTCACAAGGTCAGGAGTTTAAGACCAGCCTGGCCAAGATGCTGAAACTGTGAAAATACAAAAATTAGCCAGGCGTGGTGGCATGCACCTGTAATCTCAGCTACTAGGGAGGATGAGGCAAGAGAATTGCTTGAACCTGGGAGGCAGAGGTTGCAGTGAGCCAAGATAGCACCACTGCACTCCAGCCTGGGTGACAGAACAAGATTCCATCTCAAAAAAAAAAGACCTTAGCTAAAATGGCTTCCCTGGGGTGGTGGAGGCAGTCAGGTGACAATGGGAATGGGCTAGAGGCAGGGAGGAAAGTAGCAAGTGTGGGCTGTTCTTCCAGAAAGTGTGGTGAGGAAGGGAAAAGGACCTATGGGGTCCTGGACTGTGGGGGTCAAGGGGAAGTGAGGTAAGCACATGTTCATGCTAGGAGGGGTGGAGGTGGGGAAGGGACAGTGGAGAGAGAGAGGAGAACAGTTGAAGCAGAGTCATGATAAAGCATGACTTAAAGTTTATAAAACATCTCTGTATCTTCCACAAAGTCTCCTGAGGATTTTGTCCATTACACATGTTCATCCCTTCCACAAGGAACCACGTGAGAGGTGGGATGTCACAGTGGTCAGGAGCACAAGCTCTGGAGTTTGCTAACCTGAATTTTAGTCAAGGCTCAGCCATTTACCAATGATGAACTCCTGGGCAACCTCTCTGATCCTTGGTTTCTTCACATGTAATTGGGAAAATAATACCTGACTTACATGATTGCCATGCAAATTAGATAAGGCAATGGATATTTAACCCATTATATAGCATCAGGTTCACAGAACTAAAAAGGGAGAAGTGTCTACTATTATTATTTCTCATTAAGAGTTCAGTCACAGGAAACACACACCCATTCCATATTAAGCAGAAAGGAATGTACTACTGGGAACTGAGGGAGTTCTAGGCTGCTTCTCAGCAATGACTCCCAGGACCTTCTACGGGAGGTCTGACTGAGCTCTGTCCACACGCGTTCATCTTTCTAGATGCAGTCTGCAGAGCTTTGAGGCACTAGGTAAAGACACAGAAGAAATTTACATACAATAGGGTGTGTGGAAAATGATGTTTCCTTTCTTCCGGTTTTGGAGTTCATGCTTCTGGAGGGAAAGGTGAGGAAGGGATGTGAGCTGTGAGCTTAAAGATGGTTCTAAAGGCTTCGAGTGGTGGTTCACACCTGTAATCCCAGCACTTTGGGTGGCCAAGGCAGGAGAATCGCTTGAGCCTAGGAGTTTGAGACCAGCTGGGCAACATGGCGAAACCCCATCTCTACACAAAATCTAAAAAATTTGCCAGGTGTGACTTGCACCTGTAGTCTCACCTACTTGGAGGGCTGAGGCTGGAGAATCACTTGAGCCCAAGAAGTTGAGGCTGCAGTGAGCTGTGATTGCACCACTGCATTCCAGCCTAAGTGACAGAGTGAAACCCTGTCTCAAAAAAAAAAAGAAAAGAAAATAAGATGGTTCTGAAGAAAAAAAATGGGGATTTGCTTTTAGGGACTGTGCACGGTGGTTGGAGATGTTTTAGAAGAGGTCTGCTGCCTGCTTAAAAGAGCTTTAAACTGCAAGTTGGTTTTTGGTTTTTTGGTTTTTTTGAGATGGAGTCTTGCTCTGTTGCCAGGCTGGAGTGCAGTGGTGCAATCTTGGCTGACTTCAATCTCTGCTTCCTGGGTTCAAGCAATTCCCCTGCCTCAGCCACCTGAGTAGTTGGGATTACAGGCACACACCACCATGCCCAGCTAATTTTTTTTTTTTTTTTTTTTTTTTTTGTATTTCAGTAGAGGCGGGGTTTCACCATGTTGGCCAGGATGGTGTTAATATGCTGACCTTGTGATCCGCCCACCTCAGCCTGTGCTGGGATATTACAGGTGTGAGCCCCCATGTCCGGCTAAACTGCAAGTTGATGATGGTGTGTCAGGGAATGAAAAATCCAGAAACTCTTTAAAATTGGATGCGATGGGGATTGCAGGTGTGACAGTTGCTGTGGAGTCATAAAGGAGGAAGGCTTCAGGTCAGGCAGACCTAGGTTTGAATTTTGCTTTAGTGATTTATTAGCTGCATGATTGATTGTCATTTTGGAAACTCAGTGTTTTCATCTGTAAAATGGGGTTAGCCTCACTTCACCTTCCTTTGACCCTGTCTCTCCCCAGTCTGGGATCTCATGGTCTCCTTTCCCTTCATCACCCCCCTTTCTGAAAGAGTCAATGTTATCAATAAAATTTACTCCTCCTAGTTCTGAGGATTAAATGCAGTGATGGGGACAAAGCCCCTGTCCATGGCTGAGCATTGTGCCTACAAATGGCAGCCCCACCCCTTTTTCTCTCTCATCTCTCTTCCTTATATTACCAGAAAATGAAACTCGCAGGGAGAAGAGAGAAGCGTATTGAGGAATGTTATTTGTGCTCTAAGATAAGTCTGAATTACCAGAGTTTGGGAAGTCAACCTTGACTTTTTTTTTTTTTTTTAAAGCTGTTTTCCTTCATTACATGAGTCATGAATGCTAATTGAAGAAGAACTAGAAAATTCAGATGTGCGAAATAAAACATCACCTGGAATTCTTCCACCCATATTACTGCTGTTAATATTTTGGTAGGTAGACTTCCAGACTTTATTTTTATGTGTATATAATGACTTTTTAAATATTTTTTTTCTAAAACTTGGCATAAAATACATATTGTTTTGTAAACTATTTTTCACGTAACAATGTATTGTGGACACTTTTTCATGTCAGTGAATGTAGTTCTACAATCCATACCCATATTGTTAATGGCGGTAGGGTAGTGTACTGTAAAGGTTCAGATAGGTGTCAGGATGATATGTAATCAGGAATCTGCTGTCAGTGACTTTGCAGGATCCTGGAGGTTGGGAGGGGTGCTATGAGGTGAAGTTGGATGAATACTGCCATCATAGCCGGCAAGGAGTAGACTTTGGATCTGGAAATTAAAGAGTGTCCAAACTAATGCCTGTTCCTGGCAAAATTCTAGAAATGATTATTATATGTGGGGTCTGGCAATGCTTAGCAAAAAGAATAACATTTGGCAGAAGCCAGCCTGCGGTCTCTACAAACACATACCAAAGGATAGAATATCATGCTTCTTTTGTTGATAAGGATACAGAATGAAGAGGTTAGGGGAATGCTGAAGACATTGCTTTTTTTTACTTTCAACAGGGCATGAAGCAGTTTGTCATCGTATTCCCGTATGTGATGGGAAAATGCGGGCTGCATCATGGCCCTGTTTGGAGGATTCATAGCTGGTGACTCACTGTACCCAAAGAGATGTGATGACAGGTTTTCTGTCTTGCCAGCAAGACGTCTCTGAGCCTGTGACTCAGCCCTGGCCACACGATGTTTCTATCAGTGACTCAGATGAAGATGTAGGTGTCAGGCTCATCACACCTTCAGATGACACAAAGAGGCACAGGCTCACTAATAGACTGGGTGACAGAATTGAGGTTCAAAATGATTGTGGCAGGCTGGAATGATGATCCAACATGAGCAAGTGACATTTGGAGAGTGTGGATGTAGAGTCCTGCAGGCAGGTTAAAAAGATCAGAAGTGAAAATGTGGGACCATGAGTCTCGGCTTAGAAATGAATCACTTGAAAAAGACAAAGTTTATCTGACAGCAAATTCAGATGTGTGGGCACTATCAGGAGTCTGTTGATTCCCAGGCTGCCTCAGTAGATGCAGGAAGCCTGGAAGAAAGGTCAGTGTTCCCACTGGGGCCTGTAGTTTGCTAGGTTCAGGCTTGGGAACCCTCAGAACAAAGTCCAGGGGAAAGCAATCCCCATGGTGAAGGATCTAAACACAAAGACTGTTTTTTTTGTTTTTTTTTTTGAGACAGAGTCTCACTCAGTCTCCCAAGCTGGAGTGCAGTGATGTAATCTCGGCTCACTGCAACCTCCGCCTCCCAGGTTCAATCGATTCTTCTGCCTCAGCCTCCCAAGTAGCTGGGACCACAGGCACACGCCACCAAGCCTGGATAATTTTTGTATTTTTAGTAGAGAGGGGGGTTTTGCCATGTTGGCCAGATGGTCTCAAACTCCTGACCTCAGGTGATCCACCCACCTTGGCCTCCCAAAGTGTTGGGATTACAGGCGTGAGCCACTGCACCCAGCCCTAAACACAAAGTCTTAAAGTAGGGTGGTCATTCAAGTTATTATCTAAACTGGGACACGATGGGAGTGAAAGTATTATTAATCACTAGAATGCATAATTCTATCGTGGAGGCATCTTGGAGGGACTGGGACTTTTTATACTAGAGAAGAAATAACCAAGGACTTATTATATTTGAGTCAGGAAACTTATTTTTATAGCTCATTCTCTTTTTTAGAAAAATCATTATTTAGAGGTCAAGACTGGAGGATCACTTGAAGCCAGACCAACCTGGGCAACATAGTCGGACCCTATCTCTAAAAAAAAAAAAATGTAAAATTAGCCAGGTATGGTGGCCCCTGTGTGTAGTCCCAGCTATTCACAAGACTGAATTGGGAGGATCCCTTAATGACAGGAGTTTGAGGTTACAGTGAAGCTGGGGCAACAGGCAGAGACCCTGTCTCTAAAACAAACAGATAAATAAATATTTAAAAAGGAATACCTGCTCATTGAAAAAAATTCAAATAATAAACAACTCTCTTCTATCAAATAAGAATAAAGCTAGCACATACCTTGTCGATTTGCTATGAGGATTAAATGAGTGTAAGGTGTTTAGAGCAGTGCATGGCATAAGTTTGTAAGATACAAATAAATATAAAACTGTTTAAAAGGGAAAAAAGCTCTTCTTTTCCTCACCCCTCCCATCTCTATATCAGTTACATGTTTCAGAGGTAGCCATATTATTCATTTATGATGTATATTTCTAAAAATTTTTTAAAATTTAAAGTAATATGCTTACATGAAGCAAGTGTGGCAACATCTTGATAAATTGCTAATGCTGAGGGGTTAGAATGTGAGAGTTCATTGTACTATTTTCTCTACTTTTGTGTTTGTTTGAATTTTTCCTTGAAAGTTAAATATAGGCCAGGCATGGTGGCTCACACCTGTAATCCCAGCACTTTGGGAGGCTGAAGTGGGTGGATCACCTGAGGTCAGGAGTTTGAGACCAGCCTGGCTAACATGGTGAAACCGGGTCTCTACTAAAAATACCAAAAGATTAGCCAGGTATTGTGGCAGGTGCCTGTAATCCCTGCTACTCAGGAAGCTGAGACAGGAGAATCACTTGAACCTTGAAGGTGGAGGTTGCAGGGAGCCGAGATGGTGCCACTGCACTCCAGCCTGGACAACAGAGTGAAACTCCATCTCCAAAAATAAAAAATATAAATAAATAATAGTTAAATATAGTTGGCTGCGAGTGGTAGCTCACGCCTGTAATCCCAGCACTTTGGGAGGCCGAGGCAGGAGGATGAGTTGAGCCCAAGAGTTTGAGACCAGCCTGGGCAACACAGTGAGATCTTGTCTTACAAAAAATGAAAAACTTAGCCAGGCATGGTGGTATGTCCCTGTCGTCCCAGCGACTTGGGAGGATGAGGCAAGAGGATCGCTTGAGCCTAGGAGGTCAAGGTTGCAGTGAGCTGTGATTGTGACCCTGTCTCAAAAAAAAATTTATATATAGTTGACCATTGAACAATACAGGGGCTGGAGCAGTGACCCACCATGTAGTTGAAAATACATGTACAACTTTTCAAATGGCCAAAAAACATGAAAAAAAATGTTCAACATCACTAATGATGAGGAAAATGCACATCAAAACCATAATATGAAACCACCTTACTCCCACGAGAATGGCTACAATAAAAAAATTTTTAAAAATAGGTGTTGGCATGGATGCAGTAAAAAGGGAACACTTCTACACTGCTGGTGGGAATGTAAACTAGCACAGTCACTGCGGAAAACAGTGTAGAGATTCCTTAAAGAACTACAAGTAGAACCATCATTTGACCCAGAAATCCTCCGACTGGGTATCTACCCAGAGGAAAAGAAGTTGTTATACAAAAAAGATGCTTGCACAGGCATGTTTGTAGCAGCACAATGCTCAATTGCAAAAACATGGAACCAACCCAAATGCCTATCAATCAACGAGTGGATATAGAAACTGGTATATATATGAGGGAATACTACTCAGTCATACAAAGAAATGAATTAATGGCATTTGCAGCAACCTGGATGGGTTAGGAGACAATTATTATAAGTGAGTAACTCAGGAATGGACAAGCAAACATTGCATGTTCTCATTCACAAGTGGGAGACAAACTGTGAGGATGCAAAGGCCTGAGAATGATACAATGTGGCTGGGGGCAGTGGCTCACGCCTGTAATTACAACTCTTTGGGAGGCTGAGGCAGGTGGATCACAAGGTCGAGAGATAGAGACCATCCTGGCCAACATGGTGAAACCCCGTCTCTACTAAAAATACAAAAATTAGCTGGGTGTGGTGGCATGCACCTGTAGTCCTAGCTACTCATGAGATTGAGGCAGGAGAATTGCTTGAACAACCTGGGAGGCAGAGGTTGCAGTGAGCCAAGATGGAGCCACTGCACTCCAGCCTGGGCAACAGAGCCGGACTTTGTCTCAAAAAAAAAAAAAAAAAAAAAAAAAAAAAGAATAATACAATGGACTTTGGGGACTCGGGGGTAAGGGTGGGAAGGGGGTGAAGGATAAAAGACTACACGCTGGGTTCAGCATATCCTGCTCGGGTGATGGGTGCACCAAAATCTCATAAATCACCACTAAAGAAATTTACTCATGTAACCAAATACTACCTGTGCCCCAAAACCTATGGATATAAATAATATTTTTAAAAAGATAATCCATGTATAACTTTTGACTCTCCCAAAACTTAACTACTAGCAGCCTACTGTTGCCTAGAAGCCTTACAATAACAAACTGTTGATTAACACATATTCTGTGTGTTATGTGTGTGATCTACTGTATTCTTACAGTAAAGTAAGCTAGAAAAGACAAATTTTATTAGGAAAATCATAGGGAAGAGAAAATATACTTACTATTCATTAAGTGGAAGTGGATTGTCATAAAAGTCTTCCTCCTTGTCTCCATGTTAAGTAGGCTGAGGAGGAGGAGGGAGTCGAGGGGCTGGTCTTGCTGTCTCAGGGGTGGCAGAGGTCAAAGAGGTGGGGGACTCAACAGGAGGCAGGAAAGGCAGGCTCACTTGGTGTGACTTTTTTTGAAAAATTCTGCATGTAAATGGAACCATGCAGTTCAAACCTATGTTGTTCAAGGGTCAACTGTATTTACATAGCTTACACAGCAACCAAATACAAGGTTATAGTTGTCTTCTATTAAGTCCTTAGAGGCAACTATTTTGAAATTGTTTGGTTGTATCTTCTGATATGTACTTCCCTATTTCTGTGGCTATATCACGCTTATATTGCTAGTTTTGACTTTTCACTTTATCTCTAATATTATAGATATCACATATGTGTACATATATAAATTTTCAGGAGTTTTGAAAGTTGTTATTCTCTGAATATACCTTAAAAACAAACCCTGTCCTTGTTTCATGGATGTATTTCTTTTACCACGCTAAGGCTATTAATTGTAGGTTTGTGGGTGTTTTTTTAAAGCTTTCTTCTTTTCCCTGAATATTCTTTCTTTCAAGTTGGGTTTTTTTTTTCTTGAGATGGAGTTTCTGTCACCCAAGCTGTAGTGCAGTGGTGTGATCTCAGCTCACAGCAATGTTCACTTCCTGGGTTCAAGTGAATCTCATGCCTCAGCCTCCTGAGTAGCTGGGATTACAGGAACACACCACCACACCTGGCTATTAACTAATTATTATGGAAGATGAGGATTGGGATCTCTTATATCACCACCTATAATCATTTTATCTTTGGCCCAATATATTTATATCACAATTTGGGGTAAAAATCAGTACTTCATATTTATGTATATAAGTTTGTGTAAATATTTTTTAACAGCTGAGCCATGTTGTGATTTTCATCACATTTCATTTCTTGTATAACTGTTGTTATTTTTCCTGGAGTTAATACTTCAGGATTTTTGTTGTTATTTGCTAAATTTTCTAACTACTTATTACTAATTCATCTCCAAATTTTTAAAAGAAGTGTGAAGTTTATTTTATTTTTGTCAAATATATTTTATAATCTGTTGTTACCATTTTTTAAATAGGTGGCATCCTTTTTGGACCTAAAATTTTCTATTCAGGGCCACCACTAACACAAATGGCCCTTTTGAGTCAGTTAGTACTTACCAAAGACATGCCATCTGAACAGATGAACTGTAAGAAGGAGCTTCACGGAATGACAAATTATAAAATAGTGCTGCTTCTGGGAAGACCAATTAGGAAGAAATTCCTTTTTCTGTAGGTTTGCTGCAACCCCTCATCAGGGTTGTGACTTGGCAAAACAAGAGTACAAGAACTGAGAATTTGTGCCGGGCGCGCTGGCGCATGCCTGTAGTCCCAGCTACTCAGGAGGCTGAGGTGGGAGGATCGCTTGAGCCCAGGAGTTCTGGGCTGTAGTGTGTTATGCCGATCAGGTGTCTGCACTAAGATCGGCATCAATATGGTGACCTCCCGGGAGCCGGGGACCACCAGGTTGCCTAAGGAGGGGTGAACCGGCCCAGGTCGGAAACGGAGCTGGTCAAAACTCCTGTGCTGATCAGTAGTGGGATCGTGCCTGTGAATAGCTACTGCACTCCAGCCTGGGCAATATAGCGAGACCCCATCTCTTAAAAAAAAAAAAGAATTAAGAATTTGTAAATCCACTGTACTGGGTATTTGACAGGGCCTTTTAATCTAGAAAGCCAAGTCTTTTATTTCTGGGGGGGGGGTTCTGGAATTATTTTTTGACAACTTTCTCACAGTTTTTTTTTAAAATCTTCTTTATGTGAGACTTCTAGTTGGATATTTATACTTTCTGTATTTATTATCTAGTTTTCTTTTTCATTTTTGAGACAGAGTCTCACTCTGTTGCCCAGGCTGGAGGGCAGTGGGGCAATCACAGATCACTGCAACCTTGACCTCCCCAGGCTCAAGTGATCCTCCCACCTGAGCCTCCTGAGTAGCTGGCACTATAGGCATTTGCCACCACGCCCAGCTAATTTTTGTATTTTTTTTTTTTTTTTGAGATGGAGTTTCGCTCTTGTTACCTAGGCTGGAGTGCAATGGTGCAATCTCGGCTCACCGCAACCTCCACCTCCTGGGTTCAGGCAATTCTCCTGCCTCAGTCTCCTGAGTAGCTGGGATTACAGGCATGCACCACCACGCCCAGCTAATTTTTCTGTATTTTTATTAGAGACGGGGTTTCACCATGTTGACCAGGATGGTCTCGATCTCTTGACCTCGTGATCCACCCCCCTCGGCCTCCCAAAGTGCTGGGATTACAGGCTTGAGCCACCGCGCCCAGCCATTTTTGTATTTTTTTGTAGCAGTGGGTTTTGACATGTTCCCCAGGCTGGTCTCAAACTCCTGGGCTCAAATGATCCTCCTGCCTTGGCCTCCCAAAATGTTGGGATTACAGATGTGAGTCACCATGCCTGGCCTATCACCTAGTTTTCTCATATTCTCTTTTCTGGTTTTCTCTGTGGCTATTTGTTCTCCTTTTTCGAGGCTTTCTCAACTTTATAATATTCCATTAAATGTTTTACCTCTAATATTATGTATATATCATATGTAATATATGTACATAGACATACATTTTCAAGAGTTTTAACAGTTATTATTCTCTATACCTTAACACACCCTGATCTGGTTTCGTGGATGTGTTTCTTTCACTACTCTGAAGTTATTAATTGTAGGGTTTGTTTTTTTTTTTTAAGTTTTCTTCTCTTTCCTGAATATTCTTTGA